AATTTTTGTGAGTTGAGCCGAAATATTGTTGTAAAGGTGGTTTGGCTTTGGATGAAATTATAGAGCACATCCTCCAAGTTCCTCTTATGGGGAGATTGGTAGGTGGGAGGATTAGATGGTCCTTGATGAGAAAAGTTTTGTGGAGGTGGACTTGGTGAAAAATTCTATGGTGGTGGATTTAACGAATACCCTTGCAGATTAGTCTGAGGATATTTGGGAGCTAGAGGCTTGTCCTTGGCCTTGGTATTGATTTTGGTATTGACCTTGCATAGGAGGCACGGGAAGGTGTATATGTATTTGAACCATGAGGAGTGGGGGTTCTCATTTATCCAACTAAAATTAGGGTGATTGCTCCAACCTGGATTGTAAGTATTCGAATGTGGAGAGAATGATTGCCTCGTTTGGTTAAAGGCATTGACTTGCTCATGATACATTTTCTTAAGTGCTGGAATGTTGGGACACTCCGATATGGAATGCTCCACACTCTCACAAATTGAGCAAGCCTCCTCAATCCGTGACACATTAGACACCTCGTGTCTCATATTAACTTCAAGACTCTCAACTTTTCTTGACAATTTAGCAATATTTGGAAGCAAGTCTTTCCGGTCTCTCAAGTCATATATCCCTCCCTCTTGTGGTTGACTACTATCNTAACTTCAAGACTCTCAACTTTTCTTGACAATTTAGCAATATTTGGAAGCAAGTCTTCCCGGTCTCTCAAGTCATATATCCCTCCCTCTTGTGGTTGACTACTATTCGAGGACGTCCTAGGTACGTCATTGGGATCCCTAATGTCCCAAGATTATGCATTTTGGGCCAATGTACTAAAGTAGTCAAGGGCCTCATCGGCGTATTTGTTCAAGAACTCACCATTACACATCATGTCAATGAATTGTCTATGGGTTGGTGTGATTCCTTCATAGAAGGAACTTACCAATTGTCACGATTCAAATCCATGATGTGGTATGGATTGTAGCAACTCCTTGTAACAATCCCAGCATTGATAGAATTGCTCATTGGGCTTCTCATAAAAGTTTTGAATTTCCTTTTTTAAAGCAGTGGTTCTATGAACCGGAAAAAAATTATTCAAAAATTCAGAAAGCATTTGAGCCCAATAGGTGATGGATCGAGGTCGCACGACATTCAACCATGATTTGGTTTTATCTCTGAGGGAGAAAGAAAACAATTTCAATCGAGCTATGTCCTCCATAGCATAGTTAGCATTGAAGGTTGCAGCTATATCCTCAAACTCCTTTATGTGCAAGTAGGGGTTTGTCTTTTCAATTCCATGGAATGTAGGAAGTAGTTGCAACATCCCCGACTTAACTTGGAAGAGCTGAGCTTGGACGGTAAGAGGATGCATGAGGGTGTGGTGCTACGGGTTGGTTGAAGAAAATCCCTCATAGACCTCGCCGGATGATCCATTTGGATGTTATTCCCTTCATTCGTGGTAGGAAGAAATTGCATTCGTGGATTAGGTATTCTAGGTTTNGTGCTACGGGTTGGTTGAAGGAAATCCCTCATAGACCTCGCCGGATGATCCATTTGGATGTTATTCCCTTCATTCGTGGTAGGGAGAAATTGCATTTGTGGATTAGGTATTCTAGGTTTGAGCATTCCCCCATCCCTTTGAATGTTTGGATTGACACCAACATTATCAAAATTATCACCTGCATCCTTGGGTGGGTCTTGGTCAATAGTCATGTTGGGGTCTAAGGGTTGTCTAACCAATCGATTTTGTTCGTCTCATCCCCATATGCAACAAACTATCTACAAATGAAATTATACACAAACAAGAATATATACACGGGACAACGTACCTCAGCCTATGATGAAGATCACAGAACTTACCTCTGTTTTCAGAAATCACCTACTCGAATTGACACTTTGCCTTCCCTAGCAACGGAGCCAAAAATACTTGATCATTTTCGTTGTAATATTCTCACCTCTAGACATCATCCCTCAATGTATGTATGGTATGTGTGAAGGGGAGCNTTGTTCGTCTCATCCCCATATGCAACAAACTATCTACAAATGAAATTATACACAAACAAGAATATATACACGGGACAACGTACCTCAGCCTATGATGAAGATCACGGAACTTACCTCTGTTTTCAGAAATCACCTACTCGAATTGACACTTTGCCTTCCCTAGCAACGGAGCCAAAAATACTTGATCATTTTCGTTGTAATATTCTCACCTCTAGACATCATCCGTCAATGTATGTATGGTATGTGTGAAGGGGAGCGTCACTCTCCCTTGGAATGATGTCAAAAGAAAGGGCAATAGAATGGTGGATGAATGAAATGTCAAATGTGTGTGTGTGTGAACAAAAATGCTCCATAAGCGTAGAGAGACTTTTGTTTGTCGTGTTTTACTTAGAATCGTATTCTAAGGTTGTCTCCTCAGGGAAGGAGGTAAATCATTTTGAAGGTGATTCTGGTGAAAAACAAAGTGTAAAATCTTTTGTTGTTGAAGTTTGGTTTGTGATTTTGTCTTAACGAAATTGGAATGGAAAAAATGTTGGCTAATCCAAAGGTAGGGTACTACGACTGATTCAACACATGTGCATTCTTTAAATGATGTTGAATCATTTTTCATGAATGGGGAATATAACTTGTAAGGACGGTTGGAGGATCAGCATGCTTGTTGGATCATTTTGTTGAAAGCTATTTTTTTTAATGAGACTACTAGCAGTTGTAAGGATGCTTGTTGTATTTTTAATGAATTTGATCTTTTTTTTTATGAATGTGATCTTCTTAATGAATGTGATATTTTTAATGAATGTGATATTTTTTTGATAAATGTGATCTTTTTAATGAATGTGATTTTCTTAATGAATGTGATCTTCTTAATGAATGTGATCTTTTTTAATGAATGTGATATTCTTAATGAATGTGATCTTCCAAGTCACAACAATATACAAAACCCACAATTTCATTCAAATTAAACGCATAAGTTCATTCACAACACAAGTTTCATCACTACACCATTACTTTTGTAGCTCTACTTCACTAGAATCACAAATATAAGCATCACTACTAGTAACGTGACTACAAATACATTTGACTTCATTGAACCTTCTTTAGCCTCAACACGTTGAACTAAATTACAAAGTTCTTCAATCTACAACTTCAATGTCATTACATTTTGTTCAATTCGTCGTACATTATATTCAATTCGTCATACATCCATCTTTTCATTTGTAATTTCCAAAGATGGGAGAGTAATAGGAGTCATCCACTTAAAAAAGTGACTGGAATCATCTAGACATTTGCAGTATAGCTTCCCAGGTTTTTTTTCAGATTCAGAAACTTTGATAATCCCTCTTTTGCAATAGATGAGACAATGCATATTGCGATATCTTAACTCGTCGTTGCTTGTTTCCGTACTTGAAGATGACATTCTTCAACACTACAAACATTATAACAATGGTATTAAAACTCAACATTATAGCAATGTAGCAGAAACATTCCATTTAGTATTTCATTCACTCAACATTCAGCATAAAACAAGCATATTCATTATAGCAATGCAACATTCCATTCACTCAACATTCAGCAAAAGGAACTTCAGCATAAACCATATATTCAGCATGATGAACTTCAGCAAAATGATATTCAACCCATTCAGCATTTCCATTCCTCCATGGCACATACATGGTAGGACAATGATATTTAGCCATTTAGAACAATGATATTCAGCCATTCAGAACAATGATATTCGACCCATTACACACTCAGCTTGCCATTCACATTGGCTGGAATTATGCAAGTGAATGCTTTTTTTATTTGTTTTTGGGATATTTGACTTAACTGGTTGAATGGGATTGAGTTCAAGCCCAGTAGAGATGCATCTACATTAGCATCTAGAATATTCTCACAGGGGAGTGCTGTATTCTTGTAGAAAATCAGAAGGCAGATTCTGTAATGGCAAATCCCAGTTTACATGTATAGTTTTCTTTAGATTGTCAATGCACTTCATCAGATAGCTATATGCTATATGCCCTATGGTATCTTGGAAACAAGTCCAAACTCAATTATTCAGGTTGAACCCATTTGAAAATTCTCAACAAAGATCATTGTTGGTGATTTTAAAATCTAAAGTTTTCCACCTCTCTGTTAAAATTGCTCAATCACTCGCTACACATAATAGATCAAATGTAGCATTTCTCATAAAGTAACAATATGCACAAATGGATGATATCTAGAGAACTCAATTTGCTGTTGTGCATTAAATTAACATCTTTACATACACACACACATATTAATATCTACATACACACACACACACATAAATTGAACTATATATACACAGACACAGACACAGATACACACACACACACATATATATATACACGAACCGAACATTATTGATTTAGTTATGTTGAAGGACAAAATCTTTGTACACAAAATGGAGCTCAAAAATAAAGAATACCGAGTTGCTGATCTTGGTCTTGGTGTTGGAGTTGCTGATATTGGTCTTGGATATGCTGATCGTGGTCTTGGAGATTCTGATCTTGGTTTAGGATTTTGGTTCATTTTGAAATTTTTTTGAACGAAGTTAGGTCTGATTTGGGAGGACAACAGATGGTGCCTTTTTTGGTGTTGGATTTTTAAAAAAATAAAAGAAATGTTTATAAACGGTGGCATTTTATTAAATCGCATATGACGCGGTTACCGGGTTACTGCAGAGGAGCTGGACCCGTGCCTCACACGCTGTGTGTCTTTCTGTGTGGCTCAACAGCGAGACCTTCGTTCTCAGTCAGTGCTACACTCTCGCTTTGGCTCTATCTGTTTCGCCGTGGTGCAGGCATTTAACTCTATGAGAAGTTAGAGAGAGAAGTAGTCGAGTAATTATCAGGAAGCAAATTACATTTGCAAATTAGAAGTTCAGTCGTAATTATCTGTTATTTGTATAGGGAAGTGGGGAGCCTTGAGTGGCAGAAGAGAAGATGAAAATCTACAAAATCTTCTTTTGTTGTTTGATCATTTTTATGACCGCGCTTGTCAGATCCGTTTCTGTTCCCTCCAAAGACCTACTCGGAATTGCTCCTGAAGGTCCATCTTTCTTTCTCTCCTCTCTGCCCTCATGATCTTTGTGATATGTGTATGGTTTATTTATCAACCCGAAGTGCTTATTCACTCATTTCCGATGGATATATTCTGATGGATGATTACACTTAACAGATGAGCAATTTTACAAGGAATCGTCGAAGGGGACAATCAGATGCAAAGATGGGTCAGGGCAATTTACGAAATCTCAGCTCAATGACGACTTCTGCGACTGCCCCGATGGCACTGACGAGCCAGGTCTTCTAGCTTTAGTTAATTTTATTATACTTTTGATTTCAAGATGGTTTGCTATTATGCATAATTCATCCTTCATTGTTTATCAAACTATCATAAAGAAAAAGTACTGTACGAGAACCACGGCGGTTCATGTTTGTTAAAATCTTTGGCTTAATGTGTTTGACGAAGCTAGTGTTTTGTGTTTGCAGGAACATCAGCGTGTCCAAATGGGAAATTCTATTGCCGGAATGCAGGACATACTCCATTTTTCATATATTCTTCTAGGGTCAATGATGGTATTTGCGGTAAGATAAATTTTTAGCTGCATTTCTATTCCTTTTAATTTGGACTTATTTGACTATTACTGTGTGTTTGTGTGTGCAAATGCATTGTTTTTATATCTTTGAATATTGTAATCACTGCATTTGGGTCATCTAAGTCCTGTAAAACTGATTGTGTTGGCAACGGTTCCACCTATCTTAAAGCTAGATTTCAATGACAGCAGATATAAAACATTGCATTCTATTTAATTTTGTTCACTATAGACTTATTTGCTGCCAATTTCAGCCCAATATATTAAAAGCGAGCACCTTTGGACCTCAAAGGGATGTTTAATTTGATTACCCCATGCTTCTGACATTGCACAGAAATANTCAATGACAGCAGATATAAAACATTGCATTCTATTTAATTTTGTTCACTATAGACTTATTTGCTGCCAATTTCAGCCCAATATATTAAAAGCGAGCACCTTTGGACCTCAAAGGGATGTTTAATTTGATTACCCCATGCTTCTGACATTGCACAAAAATAAAAAATACTAAAACGCTGAAGAATGCCAAGAGGGGCGTGGCCCTTGTACACGCCAAGTTTACAAGGTAAAAAAATAGAGTAGAAGGCCAAAAAGATTAAATACTGACGCTTCCATTCACTTAAGAAATGATCAGGAAAAAATCTCCACACCCTTCTACTGCACAACCCATAAATTACAACATTTGTTACGGACCTCAATACAGATGTCAACATTTTTTCCTTGAACCCATTAGGTGTTGTTGCCTATTGGAAAAATAACTATGGGCCATTGCTTAGTGTGATGATGATAGCTTGTCTTATGAAGGAGCTAAGCATGATAACATGGGTATGAGTATGATGGATGGCTACTAGTTTAACATCCCCTGTACACCAAAAGCATGATGACAACGTCTCACTTGACAATAAGCTAGCACTAATTATAAATGTCTTGATATCACTAACCAATTGGGCTGGAAGAGTTTTCCATTTCTTTTATATTGATTTAAAAACCCTTATAGTGTTTCTCAATCCAGTTCTCTTGGTCTCACTGGAACTGCAAATTTTCACCTGCAGTTGGGATATAATGAAGATCTTCAGTGAACAAATGCTCGTGATATTTGAGATTTTTTCCTTTATGCTCTTATTTCCCTCATGAAATATTCACATTCTGTTTCTTTTCAAGAAAATTCAGCCATATTGCATTGAAAACACCAATCCTGCAAAACTTCCTTACCCCCAATCTGCCAAAAAATTGGATTGTTGTGTAGGTTGACAGTGGCAGCCATTAAAATGAATTGTTTTATGATATCATGGTATGTGGAATTAACAACCTGCCTAACAAAATCTATGTATCTCCAAACGTTTTTTTCCTATTATATCTTTGGAAAAGTGACCTCTTTAATGGAGTTTAGCGTTTTTCATGGAATTGTTATTATACTGCATACCGATTTAATAACTTATTCAGTAATCAACGAATGTCTCCCATAAGTCAGATATACTTTTATGCAGCGTAAATTGGATTGTTGATATAGTTATGGAAATTTGAGTGCCTAATCAACAACCAATGTGGATCGATATAACTACAACGACACCACTTGATTGTTTGGAATGCCACTGCTCTCTCTTGTAGATCATATACCCATTTCACATAATACCCTGCCCTTTTGTAAAAGGAATCCTAAAATAATGCTGTGGAATTTTATAAAAATTTAATTCCTTATAGCAAGATCTATTCATGTTTTAGTAAAAATTAAAATGTCTAGACATAATGTGAAGACTGGGGTTACCTCTAAAAGCATGTTATAAAATGCCGCTACTATCTCACAGAGCCTCAAGTACTCAGTTTTGAATTTGATCTTTATTGCAAGCCTAGCAATTGTTTGGCCTCTATTGGACTTCAAACGAACTGACAAACTTGAAGGCTAGTTTCAACTTTTGATGAACTTGAAGTGAGGGACAGAGTGGTTGTTTCTGGTGCTAGCAAGGAGCCTTATGGCCAGCCACCTCCATAGGAGGTTTATGTAGTGTCTAGTAAGAGACCCTAATCCAAGTTTGAGATTGGTTGCAATTATCCAATGATTGCATAATAGCCCTTGATTAATAATTAATCAAACTAATGCCCTAATTAAAACTTTTTCGTATTATCAAAAGCAACCCCTTGATAGTATAAAGTAAGTAAAGAATCCATTTAATCTATAGTTGTCATGTAATTTAATTTTTCTATCACATGATGTTCTAATTGAGTTATTAGTGTATAATATTATTGTCAAACCTCTAACTTAATCTTACGTGTTCAATCTTTGGACTGCNTCCATTTAATCTATAGTTGTCATGTAATTTAATTTTTCTATCACATGATGTTCTAATCGAGTTATTAGTGTATAATATTATTGTCAAACCTCTAACTTAATCTTACGTGTTCAATCTTTGGACTGCAAGTCCTAATAATCAGTTAGAAACCTTTTTCTAATTGTCATTATTCCCTGTCCAAGTCCTAGAAGATCATGTAGCGCATTGTTCTTTTTACTAAGAGTAATAGATTCCATGTTGTACACTCATAAAGTTGCATACATATCTAACTATGTCCAATAATATATATATCCAAACTACATGGTTAGTATGTGTTACAATCAAAAAAAAAGAAGCTAAACGCCTAGTATGTGGATATATTGTAGAGTTAGATGATGGAAGTCCATTACAAGACAATCATTGTGTCTCAAGTCTAAGGATCAGTTGTAGGTGTACGACTATAACTTCGGAATTAACATTGACAAACATGTAAAACACAATGTTGAAAGTCTTATGTTGGTGAATAGCCATGTTGAGTGTACTTGTTCTCTAACAAAAATGGATATTCTATATTTTATATCCATTTTATCGTCTACAAAAAATCAAAATAAAATCCCCTCTATTTCACTTATAGAAGCAAAACGGAGAAAACTTCAGTTCAAAGATCACTCATAAATTCAATTCAACTCCAGTATAAACAAATTAATTCCATGATAGAATTAAATAAAACATTGAGCTTAACACCCATCAAAATTGAGTTTCTTTAATAAATAAACAAATCTGTCTGAGATAGTGAAAGAGGATTCACATGTGACGGCATTGACTAATAGAGGTGGCATTTTTGAAGAACTTGTTGGAGATAGGACATGTTACGACTAACTTGAGCTTCTTTGCCAGAATTTGTATTTGTTTGGTATTGCATGTGTGCCATCAACACCTCTTTTTCTTTAGTTTCTGTCTCTCTTTTCTCCTTTTTCTCTCTCACTGTCTGATTTGTGTTTCTCTATGTATCTATTGCACATAATCAAAACAACATAAGGTTGCATGTCACATAATGAAATACACGATAAAATTAGGAGGTTTTTCATTCATTANTTTTCTCTCTCACTGTCTGATTTGTGTTTCTCTATGTATCTATTGCACATAATCAAAGCAACATAAGGTTGCATGTCACATAATGAAATACACGATAAAATTAGGAGGTTTTTCATTCATTGCACACGAAAATCATGGCATGTTCTTTTAGCAAATTATTAGTTTAGACCAAGGATCAAAATATTGTTTTGAAACGGTCGAAACGTCCGAAACATTTCCGTTTTCAAGGAAACCGAAACGAAACAGTGATGAAATCGAAATTCTGATATTTTGAGGTATTCCATAATGTTTTTAAATGTATTATAATATTTCAATGCATTTGTATAATTATTTTAAAATATTTCAAGGTATTTCAAGATATTTTGATATATTTTCATCAATGTTTGAAAAAAATAATTTTTAAATTTTTTATTTTTTTCATTATATTTTCGAAACGGATCGAAACGTTTCTAAAACACGTCGAAACGTTTTCATTTCCTAGGTGACCGAAATAATACACAAAAATGATATTTTGATCTTTAGTTTATACAACTAAAAAACATAACTTTTTCGTGCTATTGATATATTCTATGTTTCTTTCTCTATATATCTCGTTGTAGAGAGAGAGAGGGGGTGTGGGATGTGAGGTGTGAGGTGTGATTTAAGAGATTTTTGAATTTTATCTCAGATGGCAGTTTTTGTTGATGCATTTTTCAATCTAATATTGTAATAGAGAAAGGGAAAGAGATGTCACAATTGTGCCAAGAAACCAATCACCCTATTGATACTATTATACTTTTGGGTCAAATAAGGACGCATTGGAGAAATTCTAGAGCTCCGAAGGTTTATTTGGTGGAATTAGGCTTAAGATGGGTGGGCAAGGCGGTAGGTTTGATTGGGGTGATGGATTTGAGATAAATCTTCTGATGTAGGTCAGGCATCCATTGTAGCCGCTTGAGTTCACACTGATGTTATTTGGTGGTTTCATTACATTTAGTTGTCTCTTGTAATAACAAAAACTAATAAATTTCATTTTATTACCCCCAAAAAGCATTTTAGGGAATTAATCCTTGTGTTTGAAGTCTCTTGAAAACACTCTGCAAATCTGTGTGGTCAATCACGTAATGCTCTACTTTTTATGTTGTTGATCTCAAAATGTCTGATTATAGGCCTTTTTAGAGGTAGGTGGTACCAACGTTTTTGAGTTGAAGAGTTATTGAACAAAGCGATTGAAGGCCGATGTTCAGTAAGGAGTAAGTCTTTCAAGGATCCGATTTTGGGAACAGAAAAAAATAGTTGGTGGTTAGACAATGATTGAATGGTAGGATGTAGAGGGCATGGATGGTGGGTGGGTTGTGCAATGGTGAACTATGGGGGTAGAGGATTGGTGGGCTACGATGGTGGTGGCAGAAAGGCGATGGGTTGAATAGGTAGCCATGGTGTTGTCGTCAAAGATAATGTGTGTAATTGGGTGTGAGAGAGATGAAATGGGTAGGGCTACGTGGGTGGCCACTATTGTGGTTGGCGAGGGAGATGAAATGGTGGGGCTGAAAATAAAATGGAGTTAATGGTGGTAAAAATCTAAAACAACAATTTTTCGTTATACTCATTACTATAAGTACTGTTTTTTTGGGTAAGCTACCATAAGCATTATTAGGGGAGGGGCCTGGTGTAAAAAAAAGGCGATATATTGCACAAGGCTACCACCACTGTGGGGTAGGGAGAAGGTCAGATATATGCAACCTTAGCTCTACTAGTTAAAGGCACGTGTGCTTTGCACATGAGTCATCATGAATATGAAAGGGTGTATATTATTGCTATAAATTTATCAAATATATTCACCCAAAAAGAATTTCTAAATCTTTCACAACTTCTATAGAAAAACAGTTTACTTAAAATCCATTAAATCTTGATAAATAGGATTACTTATGCTGTATGAATGTTAAACCATAAACTGTAGAATAAAGTATGCCTTTCTAAGTTGCCTCGTGTAGTTTTGAATTCTCAAATTTTGCCCACCTCCATCTATCGAGAAACAAGTAATACTTCACTCCCTCTTAAGTCGAATCAAAGTTCTCCAACTCAAGAATTTGACAAGAACAAGAAGAATTCAATCATTCAAAAAATACAAACAAGTGTTCAATTGATTTATTGCTAAAAATTGAATATACTTGAATGAATGACAACTTAATACAAGGTATGAATTACAAGACAACATGCCTTTTTGCAAATAAACCTAAATTAGAAGATGAAACTTTCCACGTCCCAAATAACTAAGTTCATTGAAACAATATAACTTCATAAGACATTGAAATTACAAGAAACACGTAAAAGAACAAAAGCATATCTTGATTGCTTTCTCACCAAAGTCTTGGAAGGATCTCCTCATTGAGAAAGATCTACCCAGTCATAATCAGTGATAAAACTCATTTTAAAGGTGGTTCAACACATATTGTTGACACTTATTACCAGTGTCCGACTTTCAAACAAATTCATCATACTTATTCACA